AGCCCGTGTTGACGTCAGTGCTCGAGGATTCTGGACGCGGGACAGCGAGCCTTCTTCGACATCAGGATTTTTGATCCCCTGGCCGCATGTCACCATAACTTAGCTCTCGATGCTGCACACAGGAGGAACGAGAACGACAAGATAAGGGCGTACGGGGAGAGAATTCAGAACGTTAATCAAGGCAGCATCACTCCTCTAGTGTTCACAACCTCTGGTGGGATGGGACCAAGTGCAAGATGTGTCTACGCCAGACTCGCGGAGGTGCTATCCGAACAGAAGCAGCAGCCCAGAAGTTATGTTATAGCCTGGATGAGATTATCGACTGTCCTTCTCTCTCCTTAGGTTAGCTTTGCTCTGCCTCAGGGGAACAAGAGCATCGGCCCCAAAGCCGACAACAGTTGCAGATATTGACTATGAGGCAACAGTCACTGAATGCTGCATAGATCTGCGGCTCAACTAACTCAACACAGCTAGGATAGCTACTTATGTATTAGGATATTTAATTTTAAGGTAATAAAATGGCGGCGAAGGTGTGGCTATTGGGGGAGGCTGGAGGCCACGTATAAAAAAAGGATTAATAATAATGCAACTACTACTACTACGACTACTAACACCACTATTATCACTACTACCACCATATCCACCACAACTACCACCCTGCAACACATTTACCACTACTACGACTACTGCCACCAGCACCTCTACCACCGCCCCCTCCAGTACCACCACCACCACCTCCACTTCCACCACCACCACCAGTACCACCACTACTAACACCACCATTGCCACTACTACCACCACTAGCCACCATCTGCTCAATTCACCAGTCAAATCTCCCTACCAGTCCCATATATTCTTTCAATTCTTCAAACCACAACTTCCCCCCTCCCCACTACCCCCTGTCCCACCCCTCCATGCTTCCTGTAACCCCTGTCTACCTTCCTCTCTCTGTCTCTCCCCCCTCCCCTGTTCCCTCCACACCTTCCTTGGTCAGGTTAATTGGCTTGGGTGAGGTGTGAGAGGGGCGAGGTCCTGTGTGATGAGGCGTGATAGTGGTGGTGGCTGGATCTGGTATCACCTGTTGGAGCTACGGCACGAGGAGGAGGGGTAGGGGGAAGGAGCAAGAGAAGGAGGAAGAGGAGGAGGAGAAAAGAAAGATAAGCTGGAGAAGAAGGAGGGGGATAAATAAGGGTTCGAAGAAACGACGAGGAAGAGGAGGGAACGAAGGATTAGAAGGGAAGGAAAGAAGGGAAAGGGAGAGGATGGGTAGAAGTAAGGGAAGGAGAAGGAAGTTGAGAGTAATGTAGAGACTGGATAGGAGAAAGGGAGAAGGAGAGGATAAAGGAACAAGAGAGGAGTAAAAAAAAACAGATGAACGGTGACACATAAAACATTAATACATAAGGAAGAACAATTACAGCGTAGTGAAATAAGAAACAAGAAAATAAATAAATAATAAAGTTGAGCAGCATCAAAGCAAACAAGGAAAACTTCTCTACTATTACGCCACTTAGTAAGACTTTTCCTGTTCCTTAACCGTTTCAGATATTTTTAATGCACTTTTATATTTTTTCAGGGCAGTCTTTATATATTTTTTAATATATTAAATTTGATATATGAATATAAAGAAGACCCAAGTGTCAGAGATTTCATAATAAGATGTTTGTTATAGCAGCTGGTGGCAAGGAAGGAGTACTTCATTGCGCTTCATACATTAACTTCCTTATATCAAATACCAAACCAAATTAAATTATTTTGGAGGTTCTAATAAATCACCATCATCAGCCTACTTCTCTTCTCTTTATATTTTATCGTCTTTTGCGTAAGTTATTTCTGGTTGTGGGTCAGTGTGTGGAGTGTCACCGTCTTGTTTGTAAACACTGACAAACAATTCGCCACTTAACGTATTACAATGGAGAGAATTTGTACGTTACATCACCTCTCTCAGCTTCTATGTTTATCTGTTCATTGTGACAACTTGGTGTAAACTCAAGTTTTAAATGTCTTCCAAGACGTGTAACTGTGAATGTCTGTAATTCTTTGTGTAACCCAAGAACTTACCAAGTCGACCTTGCAACCCGGAATTATTACATTCCGTCACGGCCGAAGGCGTTAAATGGATACCACACACTATCTCTGCTTGCTTATGCCTCTGTTGTCACATCAGGGAAAGTCACCAGCGAGGAGACACACAAACACAGTTCACATCACCATCAATAATGAGGAAAAATGTTTGAAAGTTAAAATAAACAAAAACTAGTGGTGGAGGGGTTCGGGCGGCCGCGTCAGAGGAGTCAAGTGTCCGCCGCGAAGCCCACCAACTGTTACTAAGTAGTACGCCTTTGTGTACCAGTATGGAGGACATCCCAAGATAATGGCAGACTGTTGACCGCGGCAGAGTACAGTGACAGCCACTCGTGAGGACATCCTGAGATAGTGGCAGGCAGTTAAACCGTGGCAGGGTTAGAGTGGCAATTATGGGAGTGACAGCCACACCAGTCCATCGCCACACAGGACCGACCAGTTCATCGCGCGGCCAACATTCTCCAACTCAAACCGCGCATACCTTAGTCTTCTATAAGCCACACGGAGCCAATATTACACGCTTACGTCACACACATACGGTATACCTTAATTTTATATGTCATTGTCTTGGGTTTTTGTTTAATAGTGACATTGAAACATCGTATATAATGATCTCTCGTCCAGCTGTCATAGTGGATTTCGTCATATTTATTTATATCATGCACAAAGAGAACACACACACACACACACACACACACACACACACACACACACATTAAAATTATTTACGGTTAACGAACACAACGAATACAATTATTTTAGACTCACCTCTTCTTCTTCTTCTTCTCCTCCTCCTGCTATTCCTTCTCCTCTTCCTTTTTATGAAGAATAAGAGGAAAGTGAACCACTCCTGACAAATCACCCTTCCTTTTTTCCTGTTTAAGATATTGGCTTGCACCTTCTTACACTCTCACAGTACTGTCCCTCACTCACAGTACTCTCCCTCACTCACAGTACTCTCCCTCACCCACAGTACTCTCCCTCCTCACAGTACTCTCTCACTCTCCCTCTCACAGTACTCTCCCTCACTCTCAATACTCTCCCTGCTCACAGTACTCTCCTCCTCACAGTACTCCCTCCTCTTCTCCCTCTCCCTCTCCAGTACTCTCCCTCACTCTCAATACTCTCCCTCACTCCTATTGCTCTCACTCACTCCCATTGCTCTCACTCACTCACAAATATCTCCTTCACTCACAAAATTCTCACATTCCCTAAACATCTTCTCAAAAATCACCATTTCCCCCACACATCAGCGATTTTTCCCTAAACACCTGTATTTTATCCCCCCAAAGTCACCGTTTTTCCCCCACACATCAACGAATTTTTCCCTAAATATCTTTATTTTATCCCCCCAAGGTCATCGTTTTCCCCCACACATCAGCAAATTTCCCTTAAACACCTGTATTTTATCCTCCAAAGTCAGCGTTTGTTCCCCACATAACAAAACAGATTAGCCCAGAATAAAACCCTTTGTTTCTCATGCCAATTACCATATGAACCTAAAACACTCGACTTTCATCACAAAACAGTAACTCTTTTCATCTATACAGCGCCATGTTAAAAAAAAAAAGTATAGAAAAATAGATTAAAATTGTACCGCTCACAACTCTTTTTTTCTTCTTTGTATATAATTATAAATGATCAATGGCTTTTTTTTTCAATAGCACACGAGAGTATTTAGTGAGTCCATTAGTAAATATGACAAATTTTGTGACGAGAGGTACCGGCATGGCCAGCATAAGGACAGAACCAGACAATGTGATGTAGTCGTGGCCAGAATTAGGCTAGGATACAGACACATCTGGCAAGTTAGTAACGCTGTACCCATACCGGAACACTCAGCATGTAAACTTTGTGATAAACCTTTAAAACATACACTTGAACACTATATTATTAAATGAGACCTTGTCAAAAACTTCAGGCCACCTGACTTATTGTATCATGAACTTTGTAATTACTATATTGAATCGGGGGTGCTTGGGGACATTCTTGCTGTTTATCCCAAGTTTGCTCGCCCACACTGATTAGTCTTCAATTAGAATATGACGTCCAATGTATATGAACCACTGTCCTGCATGGCAGCGAACAGTGACATCACCCACATGACTCTGACCTATATATACTGCTAATGATTATAATGCATTTCTTTGTGTACAAACCTCTGTCCTGCATGGCAGTGAACAGTGACATTATCCACATGAATCTGACCTACTGTATATATACTGTCAATGAATATGATGTATTTCTTTGTGTACGAACCTCTGTCCTGCATGGCAGTGAACAGTGACATCACCCACATGAATCTCATCTATGTGTAGGTATGTGTGTGTATGTGTAGGTATGTGTATGTGTGTGTGTGTGTGTGTATGTATGTATATATATATATATATATATATATATATATATATATATATATATATATATATATATATATATATATATATATATATACTGTTAATGAATATGATGTATTTCTTTGTGTATGAACCTCTGTCCTGCGTGGCAGTGAGAAGTGATACCACCCTCAGTGTCAGGACCTGACTGAATTACTCAGAATAGGCAAACTGTACTCCAAGCTTTGTCAATAAATTTGTTAAACTAAAAAACATTATGATATTAGTGATGTGTGTGTGTGTGTGTGTGTGTGGTCATGTTAACTAACTCTCACCTGTTTCTCCTTCAGGTAATCAACCAATTTACTATTGTCACTTCCTCACCTGCTGACGATGTAATATAAACATTGGATCATCAGAAGATTCGCTCCCCCTCTCCCCCAGCTTATGTCCTAATTTAACTTAACCTTTCTAACACTGACTTAACCTAACCTAACCTAACCTAACTATTGTCTTAATGTTTTCCCTCGTTCGTTAGTATATAATCCTTTCAGAGCTAAAATATTGTGTTTTCTTCTTCAGGTGCGGAGATAGAGTGCCACGAGGAGGGAGAAGCCGTCGAACTGCCTCACGAGGTTGGGAAGGACAACTCTTGTATCTCCTGTTCCTGTCAAGTAAGTCTTACAGCCTTTTTATTGTAGAGAAAATGGGATGAAAGAAGTGATGGAACTGTAGAAATTGAAAGAGTAGAGAAAGAGGTAGTAGGTCCTGTGACTGTTGATCAGGTAGGGAGAGTTGACGAGGAAGACAAGGAGGAGGCAGAGGAAGATAGTTGGTGAAGGAAGGAAGACATGGAGGAGGAAGGAGAGAGGAAGGGCCTTGATAAGAGCGGGAGGGAGGAAGAGAAGTGAGAAAAAAAAGGTGGAGGGCGGGGGAGAGGATACAGAAAAAAATAGGAGGGAAAAAGAAAACTAAGGCACAAGGGAAGAAATTCTCAATTATTAATATGATGTTATAGAAAATACAGAATTCCAGTTGGACATTAACATTAAATTCTGACCCTTGACGTTACAATTACACTAAATTCTGAGCCTTGACGTGACAATTACACTAAATTCTGAGCCCTTGACGTGACAATTACAATAAATTCTGAGCCTTGACGTGACAATTACACTAAATTCTGAGACTTTGACGTGACAATTACACTAAATTCTAACCCTTGACGTGACACATACACAAAATTCTGAACTCTAACATAACAACTTCACAAAACTATGAACCTTGACCCCAAAAAAATCAATACAATTATGAACCTTGGCATCAACATATACAAAAAATTCTAAGCCATAACATGATAATTAAATTACTAAATAAAATAGTATATTAACTCTCAGCTCAGGAATAAGAATACACACACAACTCTGAGGGCATATTATACCATGGAGTGTTGCCAGAGTGGGTGAGAAGCTTCATAAACAAGACAGACCCCCCTAAGGCTGGCATATTTACTCTTGGGCGTAGCGGCAGCAGCGTCCACCCCTACCTGATACCTCGCAATTTATTAACCCTTGTCTTGTTGCTCCTTGCATCTTTATTATTATTATTGTTTATCGCTCGTACGTTTGCTTCTCTTTGTTATTTCTTCTAGTTTATAGTTGGTGTGTGTGTGTGTGTGAGTTTGTTTATGTATGTATGTGTGTATGTATGTATGTTTATTTGTGTGTGTGTGTGTGTGCGTGTGGTTTAGGGTGGTATTTCCCTATTGTCCAGGACTGCCAAGGACTACCTAGAGAACTATCACAAAATTGTAAGAGAAGCAAAGACTATCCCTAGTGATAGAGCTTTAGGGACTAACCAAAAGAACGTCAACAATATTCAAGCGCCTCGATCCGACTTTATTATAAGAACGTCAACAATATTCAAGCGCCTCGATCCGATTCACCACAAAAACATTAATACATTTTCAGCTCTTCAATCGCATTTGGCCATCAGATTCCCTTGTCTTTCAACACACACACAGAGCGTACACCAGTCTCTCTCTTTCTCCACCTCAAGGGCCATCCACGACACAATATACCTGTTAGTACTGCTTTGTTAGTGGTATTGCTGTTATCTGAAAACAAGAAGGTGATTTATTCCCAGGAGAAGATGATAACTGTCTCTCTCATGACGGCGAGGTTCGTGTAGCTAGCTGACAACAAGTATAGTCTGTGAGGCCACTGACGAACACGGACTTAAATGGGCACAATTATGTTTTACTATTTTTTTTTAATGAGCGGGTTTTTACTCTCTCTCTCTTTCTCTTTCTCTCTCTCATACACACACACACAACCTTCCCAGCAGCCCTTCCTCCCTCTCTTCAACCTTACACTCTCACTCACTCACTCCCGTTCTCTCACCATCTAACCCATCAACCCTCCTTTTCTCTTTCCCACTCCATCATCACCCCACCCATTATCCCTCTCTCCTTCTACATCACCTTCACGCCCATCGTTTCTGACCCTCCTTCCCTCCCTCCTTCCTTCCTTCCCTCCTCCCACCCCCCCCCTCTCTCTACATCACCACCGCCCATCATTCCTCCCCTTCCCTCCTCCCCCCCGTCACAGTACAGATGCAGGTGATCGATGCGCCGTGTTAGTCATAAGGTGTGGTCACTGCAGCAGAATGAGTCAGTGAATTGATAGGTGACTCACGTGACTCGCCAGTCCCAAGTCCTGGAAAAACAAGTACGTAGTGTGGACACGGCGGGGGAGCTTGAAGAGGAGCTTCGAGGGGGGTTGAAGGAGGTTAGAGGAGGGGGATGAAAGGAGGGAGTTAGAGGGGGGCTGAAGGGAGGGGTAGTTAGGGGAGGAGGAGCTGGAGGGAGGAGTTAGAGAGGAGAGGGCAGGGGAGGAGCTGGAGGGAGGAGCTAGAGAAAGGATTTGGTGGAGAGAGAGAGAGGAGCGTGGGGAGAGGGAAGAAAGGAAGAGAGGCTCAGAAGACTGAGGAAAGAAAGGATGGTGAACAGAAGGAAGAAGAGAGGGAAAAGGAAAGGGGTTTTAGGTGAAAGAGAGGGGAAGAAAAGGGGGATAAAGAGAGTTTAAGGACCTTTTAAGCCGGATTTTAAGTGAGAGGGAGAGGGAGGAAGGGTGGGAGGATGGGGAAGGTAACACTCATTTTCCATGACCCAGACACACCCTGGGGAATGGTGGAGGTGAAGAGATGGATGAACATAAGAACATAAGAATGGAGGGAACTGCAGCGGGCCCATTGACCCATCCATACTGGGCAGTCCCGTTTACACCCAACTCCTATCGCTCATTTATCCACCCAACCTATGTTTGAAGCTATCCAGCGTGTTCGAGTTAATGATGATATTTAGTAACTTGTTCCACTTGTCCACTACTCTATTTCCAAAACAATGTTTACCTATTTCGCGCCTAAATCTAAATTTATCTAATTTAAAACCATTGTTACGAGTTCGCTCCTGGTTGGATAGTTTGAGTGCCTTTGTAATGTCCCCTTTGTTTAGCTCTGACTTCCATTTATACACCTCGATCATATCGCCCCTCACTTTACGTCTCTCGAGGGAGTGCAGATTAAGATGCTTTAACCTGTCTCTGTACTCAAGATTCCTAATGCCCGGGATTAGTCTTGTCATTCTCCTCTAAATTCTTTCCAGGGATTCTATATCCATTCTGTAATACGGTGACCAGAATTGAACTGCGTAATCCAAGTGAGGTCTCACAAGCGCAAGATATAGTTTTAGGATGACCTTGCTAGTCTTGTAACTAACACTCCTTTGTATGAACCCAAGTACTTTATTAGCCTTGTTTCGAGCAAATACACATTTGTTTACTTGGCTTAAGATTCCTACTTATCATTACTCCTATATCTTTCTCGCAGTCGGATTTCTCAATAACATCGTTGTTCATCTGGTATCTGGTTTCCCTGTTTACATCTATACTGAGTACTTTACATTTGTCCACATTGAATTTCATCTGCCATTTTTTCAGACCATTCGAATTTTTTTTTTAGATCTTCCTGTAGTTTTGCGGAGTCCTCGTCAGATTTAATTACACGCTTTATTTTAGTGTCATCAGCAAATTTACTTATGTTGTTGTCTTCGCCGATATCTATGTCATTCATGTATATAATAAATAATAATTGTCCAAGTACTGAGCCTGGGGAACTCCACTAGTGACGGTGCTCCAATGGGATAGTGCCGTTAATGGAGGGAGAAAAGGCATGGCGGGAGGGAGGGAAGGTTGAAGGGAATTGACACTTGCCCTCCACACACACACACCTTGGGGAGTGGCTGCTCATGAAAGATATATCGACTTTGTTTACGTTCTCTGAGTTTCAGGCTGACGACACTCACCCATCTGGTACACCCCAAGTTACCCCCAACTACCGGGTGTAGATATGTAACTCCTCACACACCCTTCCCCTCCCTCTCGCTGGGTGTTAGTGGGTGTAGTGATACTCCCTGATGAGTGTTGTGGCCTAGTGATCATGTGACACGAGCCCAGCTGGGTGTATTATTCTTATATATATATATATATATATATATATATATATATATATATATATATATATATATATATATATATATATATATATATATTGTTTTTTCTGCTATGTTTGTTCGTCTAAGAGAATTCAATTTAGTAGTGTCGTAAGCCTTGGTCCATGACAGGCTGTTGACTTGATGATGATGATGATGCTAATAATAATAATAATAATAATAATAATAATAATAATAATAATAATGATAATAATAATAATAACACGTATTATTATTATTATATCTATTCTCTCTCTCTCTCTCTCTCTCCAGTCGTCACGTTGTCTCGCTAGTCCAGCCAAACTGTTCTTATTGACCTTATCAAAATTCTGTCAGCTTTTCATTAACAGTAAGTTGGGTTGATCTCCTCGATGACCCGGATCACGACTGAATCCTATCTATCTGTCTGTCTACGTCCCTACCTACAGCACCTACCAACTAAACTACCTACCTATCAACCAACTAAACTACCTACCTACCTATCAACCAACCAACCAACTAAACTACCTACCTACCTACCTACCTTACCTGCGGGGTAACCAGGTAAAAAAAATGGTGTCAGATTTTTTTTCTTCTCGTGCGGAAGTGAAAATCATGTGGCGGCCATTTTTACCCTGTCTAAGTGAGGTAAACATTTATATATATGGCGGCTTTGTTAGCAAGGCTGTGACGTGCTAAGGCTTTTCTTGGAAGTGAGGCGCATTACCTTATTATATACGGGTGGTTTGGTTAGGTTAGGTTAGGTTAGGTCACCTAACCTGACTCACTGTTAACGAGTCAGGTATTCACACCATTAACTGACTATTTTTTTTATACACTTTCACGTTATTATGTTATTTAATCCACACCAAAAAATCCCTCTAAGCAAATTGGTCACAGACTGGTTAACTTAATCGAAAAAAATATTAACTTAACTAATTAATGTTTCCAAAAAAATCAGGTAAATTTAACTTAATCAGAACGAAATGAAATTAAGTTCAAGAGTTAAATTTGAAAGTTAATTGCCCCATAACCTGGAAATATTCCCCCCCCCCTCTCTCTCTCTCTCTCTCTCTTTTGTCATTATTGAGTGTGGTCTCTTAAATTAGTTATACAGTATGTAGTCATGATGTGTGTGCAGTTAAAGGG